TGCTTAGGACTAGTTAATTTCAGACACTGATTACACTATATGCCTTCGAAATACTAAGGAACATCAAGTCTCTATGAGTTGTTTTTTAAACTTTTGTGGAATTATTTCTTTATCTGAATTGTAGCTTTTCATCTTCGTCTGAATTCATAGCTTTCTTATACACTCGAGACTTTGTCATCACTGAAATCCATAATTCCATCATTTTATTCTCACTATTTGGTAAATATTCTACTAATGATATTATAAATTCATTATGTATTGTTTCGTTTTGTAGGCAAAAAGTTTAAAGGTAGGTTTTTCAAGTTTGACTAATGTCTTATCAATTACCATTTACATAAAAGGTATGATTGTAGTGAACGAGAACATAAGTGGAGACAATCGAATGTATTTGAACACATAATTACAGAACATATTAGTAAAATCTGAAAACTATACAGGAAATACTCGATTTGCAAATTGTCAGTCAATCATCTCAGACTTTATTGTTCTTTCATCTCCACAGCAATCATTCTTTGTTCTTGTCCTCTTTTTTAATCGTCTTAACTTTCTGCCGCCAGATATTTCACTTTCGATTGATGATACATACTGCTTATATCTGTCGACATCAGTAGCAAACACCACATGATTATCTTAATAATTGGTTGAAAGTCACTCCAATTCTTACGGGATAAAGTTATGCATTATATTGATCTCAATATCAATTTGCTTCACATAGACGTATATATATATATATATATATGAATTCAAATGAATCCTTCAATTAGTTGCTTGATAATTTTTAACGTTTATATATAAACAGAATCACATATTGAAGTTAAGTTTGATATTAACCGATTGCATGACTTGTAGCTTTTACGTTGAACTGTTGAAAAGAGACGAAACACAACACAGAGTTTAACAGGAAAACTCTGACAATTCACTTGGCACATACACATTTCTTCAAAGAGAATGAAGGAATGATAACATAGTCAAAATCATCACATCGTTCAAATACTGATAAGTATCCAAATTTGTTAAAATATATGGCAGCATCCAGAATACAAGTGTTGATTCATAGAAAACATTGCTTATGTCTATGTGATTGTGAACATATTACATTGGCTTATTAATGACCAATTTAATTCACTTTGTTGTTATCTTTTATTGAAGTAATGTAGCGTTCACGAAGAAACGTTGGTCTAGATGAACTATGATTATGAGTATATGCGGAATTGACCGATCGTTAGATTATCCATGTAACATCTTAAAATTCATTTGACAAAAAATATTGATTGTGGATGCTTTAATTTTATAATAATAAAACTGGTTTCTAATAAGCAATACATTCTCTTTTGATTCCTAATAATAAAAAGGAAAACACTAAACAAATAACTATTGATAGTTATCCTGAAATCTAATTCAGACAGAGGTGAGGTAATCAAAACGATTTCTATTGAGGTATGTAAAAAATAACGTTTCGCAGACTTGTCCTTCGATTTATTTGGGATCTCATTGTGTAGGCAGACAGACATGATATTTACAATTTCAGCGAAGTGCTTGATTAAAATTTATCTCAAACAAATTTTCGAACTCACTTGCCTGTATGAACTGAAACATAGTGAAAAATGACGTTATTTGCTTACAAGCAAGTGCGCTTACAAAGCACAAAATAACACTCGGTTGTAAGCACTCAAAGTGTCAATCAAACCGTAAACAATACATAAGTGAACTCAGACATAAACCCAATAATCCGATTGCTTATGAGGACGTTCCTGTGGAAGAGAGAAGAAAATACTACACAAAAAATGTCTGTTAAGTCCGAGATGTAGTGTTTACAAGTGAACACTGTGGTGAATGGCTGACGTAAAGCGATCAGAATAAAAGGCTTGTCATAATACAGTTCTGCTTATTGTGGTAGCTGAATAAAGGGGTGATGCTGAGTGTGGTAACCTGAGCAACCAGTTTTATTTTCTAGAGTGATTACTGATACTTGGATGACAAGAATATTCAAGAACGATCAATTATAAAATGATTAAACATTTAAAGTTCCTTATGGAATAGGATATACTTACAGGTGTAAGCATATTTAAGCCATCTTCAGAGGCGAAGTAAGCATCAGCGAAGCGAACAAACGATGAGAGTGATTTTATTTCACAGATTGATTGTGGTAAACTATTCTAGGGTCTCGAAAATTTACTGGTAGAGTAATTCATATAAAGAGATTTCAAATGTAACTGTTTCACTAATGATAAAACGTTATGGATACTGTAACTAGGAGTTTCTGCATACTGAATTGCTTCATTGGATGTAAAAGATAGTTTATCAAGTATTTTGAATAAAACGATTAGATTTGGTTTGAGTCCCCTCTTCCATAAATGGTTGAGTCCAAGTTTATTACATCTGAATTTATAATTTAAGGTACAATCAGTCTCTAGAACGCCAAGCGTAAATCGTCTCTGAATGGATTCCAACCTTAATTTATCCTTTATGAGAACACTACGAAAAATAACCGTGCAATATTCTACGAATGATCCAACACATACCTTATACATCAAAATGCGTGACTCGCAGTTATAGTGGTTACAAATCATGCAGTCTAGAAAACGCTGAGACTTGGAAATCTGTTTCGAGACCTGTTCTATGAAGGACAAATTTTGAGAGCACCTGAGCCTTAAATCCACTGCTGTATGTAACTTGGATAAAGCCTTGCCATTTATGATAAAATCTAAGTTGAGTGAAGTATCATCAAAGTACATTCATCCACATTTAGACGAGTTAAGCTCCAACATGCATTTAGTGCATCACTGGGCTACCTTGTTAAGTTCCATGCCGATTCAAATTTGCATATTGTTTAGCTCTTAGGGAGAAAATGCATTATTTCAAGATCATCTGCATATAGAAAAGACCGACCCACACAAAATGTATTTTAAAGAAGATTAAAAGAGTAAAGGACCTACGACACTAA